AAGTTTTAATAAACATGAAAATAGGTAGGTTAAGGTTCTTCCCGTTGCTCCTTTTATTCCAATCATAGATTCAGTTACTCCCATTATATACCATTTTGAGTTGTTTTTTTAAATGACTGTATTTTGAAATGTATTTGCATTTTTGTGCAAATTCTCATATATTTTGTTTGATTTTTGTCTGATATTCACCTTTTGTTGTAAACATTTCCCATAAATATAATACATTTGAATATTATTTTCAGGAGCATATGCATTTTTGGGAGGGCATATTTCTAATATAGGTCTTTTTTTTAGTTGCAAATTTGCATTATAAAATTGAGAGAAATGTGATTTTTGAAGAAAAGCCAAGTTTATGTATTGGTTAGAATATGTGAGATTAGATAACTTCACTTTCAAAATATGAAGCAAGTAAAATTTCCCCCCATGTATATTGAGGTTAGATACAAATAATATAAATCCTGGCTTTGGATATTTGACACTGTTTCTGAATGAAGGAATTTGACAAAATTCCTCAACGAAGGTGTGGCAGGAAGGAACAAATGAATAATTCTCATAATTCAAGGACATAAAAAGTGGTGTCTTGCAAGGACCCGGTGCTTTTTAACTTGTTCACAAAGGACCAGGACTTTGTGGTGAGCAATGAGACAACCCAATTTGCATAGAAACACGATCCACATTTTCCATAACATTTAGTAACTGAGGGGAGCAAAAGAAACAGGATTGAGAAGTGATACAAAAATGTCTCTCCAAACTGGGTGAATGAGTGTTAAAACCATGACTGTCATTTAGTACAAGTGCAAAGTCTTGCACATTGTGGTGGGAAATTGTAACATACAAAGTGAGAGTGAATGTGTTGGTATTTGACATCACAGAAGTGAAAAAAAAAGAAAGAAATAATTGGAAAAGGGATTGAAAATATAACTGACAATATAAAAGAGCCTTTATACCTTGAATGGGTGAGCAACGTTATTTGATGATGGGACCAACATGCCTTTTTCATTTTGTAGGAGCTGAGTTGGTAGGTTAAAAACCCAACATACTTGCATCAAGCCCACCAGAGGCTTGCACATCTTTGTTTAACCTTGTTTAAGCTAAAACAATATTATCATGAATCACGAGCCCCTCTCCCATGTACATTGCTGCAGCCGTATTTGAATATTGCATACAGTGCTGGTGTTACATCTCAAAAAAATGATGGGAGTAAAACTGGTGGACAAAAATGCCAAAAGGGCAACTAAAATAATCAATAGAACAATTCCCCTGTGGGGAAAGGTTGCAAAGTTTGAAACTGTTTGAGTTTAGGAAATACAGTAATACCTCGGTTCACAAATGCTTCTGTTCACGAACAATTCGGTTCACGAACAGCA